ACGTGGTTCAAAACGTTCCTCAATGTAAAGCATTAATATAGCCCTTGAGATTTCAATGGCCATGCAAATTTTTCCCAATTATATTATGCAAACATGGTATGCAAATACCCTCCATTATAGTAGACAGAGTAACTGAGTCATCCTACTGGAAAAATCCTCATCTTTGATATAACAGTTATGCCAGAAGTGGTTACCTGTAATTGGAGCGTCTGGTCGACTCTGTTCCTTCCTCCAGGTTGGCACAAATACTGTTATATCTTTGTGACCTTTTTCTAGAAACCAATCAACAGCTAGCTGAATCCCTCGACAGGAAAATCCTTCTTTGTTTCCATGGCTGAAAACAAACAAAAAATAATTCAGACAATCCTGATATATCTTGATGAAGATGGCCGAGTTGAAAATGTAATACATAAAAAAGGCAAGGCGTTTATTAAAGTTTAGGAGAGGGAATTAAAAAGATTTAGGGGGCGAGGGGGGAAAAACAGGCAAACCTCAATCTCGCGAACCAAGGATGTCCCAGAATAATGTTGCAGGATCCAATCTGAGTCGGTCACCGGGATCAGAGGAGCTGAAGTCCATCCGCAGGGAACGTCTCTGTCTCTAGAACAGCAACCCGCAACCTTTTGGGCATCAGGGACCAGTTTGGTGGAGAGGGGTTTTTCCAAGGACAGGAGGGGGGGGCGGTTCGTGTGCTGCCTGCATCTCACAAATGGGGCTTCACTTGTTTGCACGGACCGGTAATGGTCCACGGACCAGGGATCCCTGCTCTAGAACAAAGCTTTTCAACCAGTGGTACAGATACCACCTGTGGTACATTGGCACCTGGCAGGGGGTACGCGACCATCCTAGAAAAGTGGTAGCGGGGGAGGGGAATGAGCTGAACCGGTGGCAGCACCGCACAAGCCTGAGCGAGAGACGGCTGGAGCTGTAGGGCTCAGTGGAAGTGCCAGGATCAGCGCTTCTTCGGGGCTCAGGGCTCAGTGGAAGCGCCAGGATCAGTTCCAGGCTCCAGCTGGAGCTCGGCGCTGATCCTGACGCTTCTGCTGAGCCCAGAAGAAGCGCCGATCAGCTGGAATGTTGCAGCATCTCCAGGGTCTTGTGATTTACATTCAGATGCTTGGCAACCGATTCATATTTATGACGGTCAGTGTCCCAGGGTCATGTGAAGTGACCAAAACCTGCTGCAACCACCCAGCAGACGGATGGGGGAATAAAAAACCAAACACCCCGCTGCCAATCCCCAACAGAAATGCTCACAACAATGAAAACCTCGGACAGGAGGAAGAGCGCCTCCGGGTGGGCAGGCAGGTGTCTTGCTTGGCTGTGGCTTGGGGGGCACTTTTTTCAGTGCCATTGTAACTTCGAACAGTCACTAAGCGAACTGTTGTAAGTCGAGGACTACCTGTACTTTATCACTTTTTTCCTTTGGGGGGGGTCATCAAGTTTTTGACACCTTGCTAGGCGACTGGTGGTACTCGGATGTTGCCATATCCTAAAAGTGGCACAAGGGGTGAAAAGGTTGAAAAGCCCTGCTCTAGAATATATGCCCATTCTGGAGACAGAGAATTCCCCCAAAGAGGGGCTTTAGCACAAGTCTGGAGGTTTGGAGGAATAAATCTTTGGTCCCGGTGACTGACTCAAGACTGGATCCTGCAAACTTCACTCTGTTTTCTAATATTTCAGGGAGAGAAAAATCATTTAGTGCCAATGGGTTTTAATAGTACTGCCTGTAACTCTGGTGTTTAACAAATTATCATCAAATCTTAACATTCTTATAACTGTGCTGAAGGGCAAATCAAATGCCCATAATATGTAGTCATTATACTGACAATTTACTGCAATTAATTTCATTTTTATTAGCATCGGTAAGTCATGAAAAACAAGATGTGTATTTTCCATTCCGTGGTGTAATACACATTTATTCAGAAATAATGAAACCCACCTCCGGACAAAGATAAAGGTGCATAGAAGATATAGCCTAAAATCTGGTTATGCTGTTTAATGGTGACATCAAAGTTTGAATTTTTATCCATGTGTGACTTAGGATTCAGATATTCCAGAAGCTTTTGTGAGATTTATTTATTTGTATTTATTTTATTGATAGCACCTATCCTCTACAATAAGGGTCTCCAATCTTTTAAGACTTGTGGACTTCAACTCCCAGAATTCCAGCATGGCTGGCTGGAGAATTCTGGGAGTTGAAGTCCACAAGTCTTAAAGATGCCAAGGTTGGAGACCCCTGTTCTACAGTGATGAGATCATACTGAGATCCATATGGTTCCCTCCCTGATGACATATCGGACTGTCTAGACTAGGCTTCTTATCCAGGCCTTAGGGTAGGGTGGATGGGACAGCACCACCGCTACCCTGTTTGTGAGATTTTGTGTCTTCTGTATTGCTGAGTTGCCACCTTGCGATTATTTTGCAGGGGTGTACTTTTTAATTTGTTTGGATTCGTTGTCTCTATCTGTTGTTTTTGTATTTTATTGTTGTGAGTCACCTAGAGTCAGCTGGAGGCGAGCGGCATCCAAGTGGAATAAATTTGTTTTTATAGCATGCCTGAATCAGAAGACTCTGGGCAGATTACAAGCGTGTAAGAAACAATTCAAGGGGCAGGAGCTCTAAACATCTCTCCCAAAATGGACACCTCCAGCCATCAACTGGAAGTAACAGTTCAGTGGGACAGGGCCATAGGAGGGGGCTGCACAGAGCTCCAGGTACAGAAAGTTCAATGTACAGGAGACCCAATAGAAATAGAGATCCACATCTCCCTAATCCCCAGTGATGAGGGACCTTCATGGGCACTTTTAGGATGCCCTCAGTGGATGGGCAGATTCAAACCTTGTAAGGTGGTACAGGAAGTCCTCAACTGACAACAGTTCATTTAGTGACTGTTCAAAGTTACAATGGCACTAAAGTGACTCATGACCATTTTTCACACTTATGACCACTGCAACATCCCCATGGGCGCGTGATCAAAATTCAGACGCTTGGTAACTGATTCATATTTACGACGGTTGCTTGTGGCCCGGGGTCACGTGATCCCCTTTTGCGACCTCCTGGCAAGCAAAGTCAATGGGGAAGCCAGATTCACTTAACAACCACGTTACTAACTTCAGAGTTGCACTGATTCACTTAACCGCCGTGGCAAGAAAAGCCATAAAGGGACCAAAAACTCACTTAGCAACTGTCTCGCTTAGCGACAAAAATGTGGGGCCTCATCTGTGGTCCCAGACTACCTGCATCTGATGTAACTGATGTACCTGGGGGTTGAAATGCAGGGCACTCTGCAAAATGTGCCATTTGAATCCACTGTGGTACACTCCTATCCACATTTGAAATAAACATTTGTCTGGATGCTGATTTCCTGGAAGGGTTTTTAGGCAAGAAAAGAAAGGGCGCAAGGGCAACAAAAACAGCACAAAGGTGTGAGCTACCTCATTGCCACATTACTTCCATCAATTACGATTGGCCTCAAGTTGTCAGAGCTGTCCACCACTTCCTCCTCCAGGGACAGCTCGGGGCTGGTCACCTCTTTGGCAGCCGTCCCGCCCAGGGGAGCCGTGGCACTTCCAAGGCTAGCCGGCCCTTCGTTCTCAGCCTTGTTGCCAAGCCTCACAAGTTCGGCCAAAATATCATTGATGAGAGCGTCGGCCCCCAGCTTGTTCAACACGGCTTGAATCTGATCCCCCGCGTAGCCCAGTTTTAAAGCAAAATCAATCTTCGCTTGATATTCTTTGTCCGAGTTCGCTTTACCATCTTCCAGTTTTAACTCCTGAAGAAGGCTGCTCTGGGAGAAGCTGGGCTGATCCAAGCAAGGAGAGCGGCAAAGCTGCCGGTGAGGCTTGTGGAGGGGAACGTCCTTCTCCCTAAACAGGGTGTTGCTGGAGCTGTTCTTGAAGCAAGGCAGCTCGTTGTCGCTCTCGGAGCTTGTCCATTCTTCGGATTCGCTGCTGCAATCCCCGCCGCCTTGCTCAAGAGTCCTCTCATTTCGGGAGTGCCTCTTCTCCATTTTTTTTAGCCTTTCCACCATAGACCAGGCCGTCATCACGTTGACCTTCTGGTGAGATCCCCCCAAATTGCTCTCAGTGCCAAAAGCGCTCGGAATGTGTGCACCGCTGGGTCATCTCCCGGCTTGCTTCTTAAACCGGTCTTGATTTGTGAGAGTCACAAAAAACAATTGTGCAACTTTTGGGCAGGCAGCGGAGAAAAAATTAAAAGAGAAAAAAACAACAGGAAGTTAGTGACAAGTAGCAATCTGCCACAATAAGAAAAGTAAATGAGAAAGTAAGCCTCAAATCCAGATAAACTAGAAGAATTAACCAGTGGAACCAGTGGAACCAATTAACCAGTGGAACAACCTGCCTCCAGAAGCGGTGAATGCTCCAACACTGGAAGTTTTTAAGAAGAGACTGGACAGCCATTTGTCTGAAATGGTATAGGGTTTCCTGCCTGAGCAGGGGGTTGGACTAGATGACCTCCAAGGTCCCTTCCAACTTTTTATTTTTATTATTATTATTATTATTATTATTATTATTATTATTATTATTATTATTATTATTATTATTATTATTATTATTATTATTATTATTATTATTATTATTATTATCGCACAGTCAGCCAGATGTTCAGACTGGATTTGGCATTTTTGTCCACCTATCGAGTCCTCACCAAGGACCTGGGATAGGCAGATGTGGATGTTTGATGGTATTACAGATATCGTCGCAGGATGGAAGCAGTTCCTAGTAAGGCTGCCTTTTGCAATTGACTAATGGCGAATTTGTCAATGCCGATGATGGTGTTCAAGTGGTGCTCCAGTGGTTTTGGGATTGCACCCAAGGCGCCTATTACTATTGGTACCTACCCTTGCTTGCCTTTGCCACAGTCTTTTTATTTCTATTTGTAGGTCTTTGTATTTTGTGATCTTCTCCAGTTCTTTCTCGTCTATTCTGCTGTCTCCAGGCACTGCCATGTCCACTATCTAGACTTTTTTGTCTTTCTTATCGACAATTGTTAAGTCCGGGTGACTATTATTATTATTATTATTATTATTATTATTATTATTATTATTATTTTTTATTATTATTATTATTATTATTATTATTATTATTATTATTATTATTATTATTATTATTATTATTATTATTATTATTATTATTATTATTATTATTATTATTATTATTATAATATAACCTCCCAAGGGGAAAGGATTTGCGAGAGATGCAGAGTTATAAGTCTCTCTGCTTGAGAAATCAATACTGCTTGGGACCATACTGTGCTGGATCAGACAATGGGATCCAGAACTGGTTATATGCAGGCCAGATTCGCACCTCATATTATGCTAAACCAGAAGTGTGTAAGTTTAGTAGCAGCAAAAGGCCATACCAGTTTTTAAACAGCGCATCTGACGCCATGCGATAAAGGCGAGAAGCAGCATTAAAAGTGGTTCCCCCAAATAAAGACTACAAGTCTCGTGTTTTTTCTTTCTCGTACACTTATACAGGTAGTCCTTGACTTACATCCATTCAATCAGTGACTACTCAAAGTTACAATGGAAGTGGAAACAGTGACTTACCACTGGTCCTCACACTTACGAACGTTGCAGCATCCTCACAGCCATGTGATCAAAAATCAGGCATTTGGAAACCAATGGGTATTTACAATGGCTGCAGCATCTGGAGGCCATCTGATGGCCATTTCTGACCTTCCCAGCCATTAAGTGAAGCTGGATTCACTTAATGACCCCATGATTCACTAACAACTGCAGTGATTCATTTAACAATCGTGGAAAAAATTCATTTAACAACCAGTTTGCTTAGCAATGGAAATTCTCCTCCTGATTGTCATAAGTCAAGGACTACCTGTACACATACGCACAGAAAACTGATATCCACAGATTCAATAGAGGCAATATGAAACTTAGCAACACGGGAGCCGAGTGGAACTTGTTACTGGGGGAACAACAAAATCAGTATAAGGAGTTGTGATGTGATGCACCACAAGCGCTCTCCGAGCCATGCTGTGGATCGAGGCACTAAACCATGACTGCATTAGTTATCCCTGACGGAACAAATCATAACCGGCACGGTTCACATGCAACTAGTTTACAACCATGGTGTACCAACGACAATGTTTGAATTCATGCTAAATTGACATCAGACAAAACACACTATAGTTCAGTGTGACCCACCTTAAAGTTCATGCACTGAAATCAATGGGGATGGAAAAAAGCTAAAGATATTAAGGCTAGTGTAGAGATGTTAATTTCAAGAGATCGGTATGAAAGTATGGATTCAACCTAGGGAACTGTAGCATGTAATAGGTAGAGAAGAGCATCTGGCAGATAAACTGTTCTAAACGTACATGCATCCCTTTTCATCTCTAAACAGTAGCAAGCCCAATGATATCCATAACCATAAAGAAGAAAATCCATTATTTACCGAATGTATCTCCTGCATACAAATAGTTCCAAGTTCAAATCGCTGATATTTTTGGTCGGAGGGACTAGGATTCGGTTGGAGTGCTACTGCAAGAGCAGATATGAGCGAGTAATCTAATGAAGCAGTGACTCAACAGTAGAAAAGTACCAGTTAGCATATTCTCCCACTCCTTCTTAGTGACTGGTTAACTTTTTAACACTGATAACATACTGGGACCAACCTCCCCCTCCCACATTTCATGTATCAGCTGAGGGTGGTCCAAGCTGAAACTCACTGAAGGAGAAATGGATCGTTGTTTTTCTGGATAGCTCCAAGAAACTGCCCAGCCAGCCTTCAGCAGCTGCAAAAAGATAAAAATAAAAAGGAAATTACATGTTAGAGATCGTTAGGAAAAGGATGGAAAAATAAAACCGTTAATGCTGTAATGCTTTTGTGCAAGTGTATGGTAGGGCCGCGTGAAATACTATGCCTGGCCTTGTCTGCGGGAACTCAAGCAAATTGTAGAGCAAGAAAGCTTTTGCCAGGATTAAAGGAAGTGGAGAAACTCGTTCGAAGAAATATAACATTTTGATTTCGGAAAATACATTAGTTAAGGCAGTGGTTCTCAACCTGTGGGTCGGGACCCCATTTGGGGTCGATCGACCATTTCACGGGGGTCGCCAAGCAAGGCTGTCCGCCATTTTTTTTGTCCGCCATTTTTTTTGTCCGCCATTTTTT